TATTAAAGGCTGTCGATGTCGATGTGCCTTTGTGTGATCACTTGTATGTGCCTTTTTACGAATGGAATCTAAAGATATAAGAAATAAGCTCTGTAATCTCTGATCTAACACAACCGTAAACATACAGACGGTTCCTCATTTAGTATGTACAAGTTCGGTACAAAATACCCAAACCCCAGTGATACTTCAAATGAAAGACAGTACCTCAGAGTGAGATAAATTTATTTAATACCAGTGCATATTTATTTGCACCCGAGGAAAAAACCATATCGCGATTTAATAATAGAATAAAACGCCATCTATCGAGCTTTCAAGAAACTAAATTAAAATATACACAAATTAACCTGAACAAACTGAACATAGTACATTATCATCGTCCTCCGAGCCTTTTCCCAAATTAGGTTGGGGTCGACTTTTAGTGTATTACGCTACGGCTGAACTTCGATTTTTACATGGAGCGACTGCCATCCGACTTCCAGGCATGTCGGACTCGAACCGACTAAAACCGCACGCCCGCGCCGTCTCCGGTACTAATAGCCGGTTAACCAGGTACACCCTAGAAAGGAAGTCCCTGGTGCCCCGACATACCTCGGGCCATCTACAGACGAGTAGACGACCCCCCCCCCCCCCCCGTGTGGGAACCCCATGTTTCCTCTGCTCCCTGGAAGCGAGCGCACTTCGCAACGCCCTCGCCGCCACCCCGGCCTACACACTAGGGATCCAACTAACCGTAACTATTTCCACAGATGTTCGTATGGCAACCGGTACCCACAGATGTACCTTATTGAGTACGGAAATAAAAAAAAATGACGGTTGCACTCCGGGAGTGCCTAAAGAAAACTTGAATATTAACGTTGTGCATTTTTGATATTTTGGATTGGTTAGGAAATAATTTTGCACGAATTGCTTTAATTATCAGTATAAAAGTACTGTGATTTATGTGGTAGAATACAATTTTTATTTATTACGCTATCGTACACAAACATGTCAATTTATCGAGACGCTGTCATCATCCATGGATGCGCGTGGCACGCTGTAACATAAACACACACGAACATTCGCGCAAGCGCCGTGCGCCGCCTAAACGAAACAGCAGGCGCAAGCATACATTTTCTTACGTCATCATCGTCTTACTAATTTTCGATCAGGTCACGTGTCCTGACGCGAGTTTAACATTTTTTACCCATTACAAAAAAAGTGTACAACGCCGCTAAAGAAGTTTTCACTTCAAAATATGCGCTATTTGTAACGCCTATTTCATAAACAATTGTAATCAAACTTTACTTTAATTAAAGTAGAGCCTAAAAATACTTCGTGACCTCATTTTAGTAATTACAAGACATTGTATCTAGTAAGTATTTCGTTAATTTAGCAACGTAACGAGTAGGCATATTTGCGCAAAACTTGGAAAAAACAAGATTCATTTTGAAGATAATACGATTACAGAAATGAGAAAAAAGGTTTGGGAGATTTTATCAGTTGATTTGCTTGCATTAATTGGAATTTGTCACTTTATGTGTTTTTATGGAGTTTTGTGGGGGAGTCATGCTTTGGTACAGTATATTTCTTTTCATGTTGCTTTTCACACACTGAGTATGGTTCTTGAAAGCCCATTTTAGCATCCCTCCACTCTACTTTTGATGGAGAGGGCACCTTACTATGACCTACAGTTTGTGTAGCCTCAATACCATATAAAACCTTATTTTTCCAATTAAAGGAAATAGATTTTTCTGTATCTCAGTTCTGAAAACTTGTATAGAATTTTTTCAAGAACGGCTGTTACAAATATTCAAACTTAAAATGTTTAGATTAAATTTTAAAGGCTTATAATTGGTAGTAGTATTTTGTTGACATGTTTAATTGTCAGACATTGTTTTTATAACATTCTTGTGCAACCACTTTAATTAATTATTGTTTATATTGTTAACGATGTTTATTATTACATATAATAATATTAAAAATTCTAAGGAGGTTACAGAACATTTTGTTTCTAATGCATTTGCGTACCTCATCACATCAATAGCCTTTAATAGTCCACTGCTGGACATAGGCCTCTCCTTAGAAAGGAGGTTTGGCCTACTATACCACGCTGGCCAGATGGGTTAGTGTCAAGTTTTCCTTCTCTCTGCAGATTCTCTTGATGGTAGATAAGTAACATAAATAGAGTCTACATTCCATTGACGATATCTGTTCTTTTTGATGTCCCTATTACTGTAGGCACAACATTTATGTGTTACAAAGAGACAATAATCCAGTTACATCACCATCGACGCTTACAAAAAACGTGTAAACTTTGTAAGCGTCGTTTGCGTGTTTTGTAACCGTCGATACCCAGCCTACCGATTTAGAGCAAGCAGTGGAGCATGAAGTAGAATCTTTCATCACCGTTTTACAAAAGAATGACGTTGCGGTGCAGGACCATGACGCGATCTATTAAGCAACAGTGCTCAATAATTTTTTTTTTAAAGACAACTCCCGCATTAGGAACATAATATATATATCCTGTGTCGCGGGGGACTTTACAAACGTACATGAAACGGACACAAAGAACACCCAGACTCAGAACAACAATTAGTGGATCACAAAAAATGTCGTCCCGTACTAGAAAGCGGCGTGGCGACCACTTAAACCACTACGCCATCCGTGCAGTTAAAAAAATTAGATAAACGACAATTACATGGGTTCCAAAAGATGTTCTATAATGGTATGATCATGTCTTGGGGCCCCGTAAACGACGTGTAGTGCTGATGATGTAAAGAAAACTATGGAAACCAAATAATAATCTCACACATCTGACTCACGACCGTCTGATCTCAAACTAGGCAAAGTGTAGCCCTGAACCGACGGACAGTCCTCTTTGAAGAGGATGCCTGAAAGCAGAAGAAACGAGCGCAAACGTAATCCTGGAATGCGAGGGAGTGGCCACACAACGGGCAAGTACCATACCTAGTAAAAAGTCGCTCCTAGAAGCCTGTGCACTGTGCGCTTCTGGAAGGAGCTTGGTTGGCTTACCTAGCCAACCTCTTCTAGACGCATAAAGGACCAGGACCAAGGAGCTCACGACCAATACCAATACCCCTGTACTATGATTACCAGACTGCCGATAAAGATACCTACATATTTAAAAATGCAAATACTATACCGCCATCATTAACAGCCTTTAATAGTCCACTGCTAGAAACGAGCCTCTCCTTAGGATGCTTTTTATATTTCCACACTTAAATCATAAATGTCAAAGTAAGTTTGTTTGTTACACTTTCACACCTGAACCACTAAACCGATCAAAAAATCTTTCACCAATGGTAAGCTTCATTATCAGCTAAAATAAGCTACTTTTAAAAGCATAATCTAGTTATAGATAAATTACACCCAGATACAGAAGAAATGATCGTGCTTATCACGTGAATATATGTCTCGAGTGGGAATCGAACCCACGAACTCTGGCTTGACAGTCAGGGTCACTCACCACTAGACCAGCAGGCCCATCAATTTGTATGTATCTTATCTCTATGTATGTTCATATGTTAGTATCTCTATGTATCTTATATCTATAACGATATAGTTTTCACTTGTGTTAGTAAAGCCGTGAAGCCATATTATGGTATTTTCCTCATAACTTTGAACACTAACAAATACATACAACTATTTGTTCTGGGCGGGAATCGAACCCACGACAATCGGTATAGCAGTCAGGGTCACTAACCACTAGACCAACAGGCCCGTCATGTAAGCCATCACAATTATTTATGATGTGTCAAGATGTGAGTACCACTTAAGTCTTAAGAACACTTAACAAATTTGAGAGGGCCGGGACGGGAAGCCATATTATGGTATTTTCCTCATAACTTCGTACACAAACAAATACATACAACGTGGTCACGTAATGTGATTATCGTGTACAACTGCGATATGAAACTTCCCACAAATGTTGACAAAACACAAATATTGCGATGTTATTTCGACACAAAAACCTTGGTGTTATAACCTACTTGTCATCGCGCAGACATTATGAAAAGAATTGTTTGTCACGAGTCTTGGAAACCATTGGACCATTGCTCGACGGTGTATAGAAATAATATTATGAGAGGTATTATACAACTCTAGGTAAACCTATACCAAGCCATCTCTGCCCTGCTTTTTGGATCGAAGTTCCTTATCGCGCGTTGTGAAAGGGGGCCAGACGGAAAAAAATCTCACGAAAAGTTGTAACGACACTTTTTTATTTTGAATTGTCACCTGTCAGTCATTCAGCGCCATCTATCGAATAGATAGGAAATCATAACTTTTCATCTCAGTAAAATTAAAATTTATGTTCTTAGGTTGAGCAAAAAATATTGTATTCGACATCATTTCTCAAGGAGATTTTACCAATGTATAAATTGTTTTAATTAGAAACCAACTGAAAAATATGCAGGTAATAGCCGCTTTCATAGATGGCGTTGTAATTAAAATCGTGTCGAATCAGTTTTACTCGATCGTCACAACTTCGGTCCTATCGGGTGTACCACGACACCACACGGCTTTTTTTAGGGTATAAAAGGTAAACGTGGGATAAGTGAATAGCCCTTCCGATAGTTACCTTCAACTCAAGATATACCAGTGCGAAGCCGTCTTTGACGGCTTGTCTCGAAATTACTTTTAAACTAGTCAGCATGAAAATATCAATTGCGCGATGCAAAATTATAAATCATCACCGGACCCCATCCCGCGCCTCTAATTGCACAGATGGCGTAGTGGTTTAAATTTGTTAACGCTGCTTCCTACTACGATTAATGTTGTGGGTTCGATGCCCACATGGGACGACACTTTATGTGATCCACAAATTGTCGTTCTCAGTCTGTTAGTTCTTTGTGCCCGTTTCATGTATGTTTGTAAAGCCCCCCGCGACACAGGATTTATTCCTAGTGCGGGAATTGTCTCTTAAAGAAAAAAATAATATATATCGTAATTGGGTTGGGAGGTAGTTTCGTTATCCCATAAAAATTGTTACTAATACTCACAGGTCCGTTAAATATCTCCTCGAGTCTCTGGCGTGGATTTTTTCCTTTCTTCGATCTGACCAGCAGATAGATTCGATCAATATCTGGACATTTTCTGTAAACAAACACAAGTTAATTATAAAACTGTAAAATAATAAAAAGTAAAATAAAAAGACCATTAAAAGGCCGGTTGGTCTAGTGGTTATTGACCCTGACTGCTATGCCAGAGGTCATGGATTCGATTCCCAGGCAGGACAAAAATAGATGTATGTTTTTAGAAATATAAAAGTAAGTATGTTTATCAGTAGTCTGGTTACCATGGTACAGGCTCTGCCTAGTTTGGGAAAATAAGCGATAAATATAAAAGCATAAAATTTTCATCAACAGCCTTTAATAGTCCACTGCGGGACATAGGCCAGTCCGTCCGGCCAGCGTGGTATAGTAGGCCAAAACCTCCTTTCTAAGGAGAGGCTTATGTCCAGCAGTGGACTATTAAAGGCTGTTGATGTGTTGTGATATAAATAAGCCCAACCCCTCGCCGTATTACCATCAAGTGAATTGTTTACCCGTTTGAAGTACCGTACCGATTTGAAGGAAACACGAGTCCAAATACCCAAAGGTTACTAATATATAGTGTACTTATCACTCACCTCAGCAGCTTCTCAATGAGGACTTTCCCCATGAAACCAGTTCCACCCGTGATGAGGACATTCAATCCTCTGAAGGTCTCTGCAATGCGGTCCGGCATTGACTCTATGTCTGTGGTTACTGTGTCGCCTGACATGTTGCTGCTGATAAGAAAAAGAAAAATAAGGCAGGTTTCTCCAAAAACAAAACAAATTTCATTATTTAATTCAAACTTAAATATCTTTCGTTTATAAAATAATTAACATTAATTGAAATCGTCTTTTGTACACAAGAGACTCTCTGTTTTATCAAATATTTAGCAAACAAAATATATATGTCCGTATCGAAAATCTCTTATATGCCTGTGCCGATCTACAACCGTCCATTTCCAAGGGGTTGAGCCTCATGATGAGAAAGGGCAAACAAACTCACGGCCTTTTTTAATCAAACCATTGAATATACACAATATTGTTAATTTATATATATCTAGTTTTTGACCGCTTCTCCGCCCGCGTGTTGTCACTCATTGAAAAATTGATAATGTAATATTTATACACATTGCACATTGAATGCATAGCACAACCGTGTCCTACACACGGACGTTTGAGGAGCTGTGAGGTAAACTTTACTTGAATGTTGAAATATTCACGTGAACACCGAGAAAGTGAAGTGTCCTTGTAATATTACTCACATAACTGGTTTTCTTAGCTATTAGGTAAGCCGTATATAGGTCAGGTATAACCGAGGCATTGAAGCGTAAATCTAATCTGTTAATAACTAACTATTATTCGCCTTCTTTCCTCGTGTAAGTATTTCTTATTTCGATTAACTTTGAAAATGACGAACTTCCATGCAACCGTTCATCCCTTATTTTACTCCCTTAAGGGGTGAAATTGCCAAAAATCCTTTCTTAGTGGGTGCTGACAATATAAAAAGTATTAACTGCCAAAATTTCAAGTTTGTAGCCCCAGCGGTTTAGGCAGTCAAAGCAAATTATTTTATAATATGTTTTATTATTGACTGTTTTGTATTACAAGACAAATAATAGCGCCAAAATACGGTAGCCTTAAACTTTGTACTGTTATCTAAACTTATATTAAAATATGTTGAATCATTTTTAATAATTTATTTTGTTACATTAATTGTCTATTCAAGCATATTGTCTTTAATTGAGGAATTAGATTAGAAAGTTGGCAGTAAAATGAAATAGGTAAGAATGGTGAAAAAGGGATTTTCCTAACGGATTTTAAGGGGATTTAACGGGGATTGTAAGGAAATAGCTCGAGATGCGACGATGTATGTGAACGACATTTAATATCATACATCATCAACAGCCTTTAATAGTCCACTGCTGGACATAGGCCTCTCCTTAATATCATACAAACATTGTTAAATAATAATTGATATTCAAATTGCATTTACTAACTTATGATTGTATATAAATATGAGAATGACATTTAATATGAAGTAATATTGACAAAATAAAAACACTATTAAAATAAACCAAATTAGGTATCTATAGTTGAATCCAATTTTTGTGTGTATACATTTATAGCGGCAATAATAATTGTAATAAACTCTTCCTCTCTCCTTTTTTTTTCTTTTTTTTTTCCGTGCGTAAATCCCCTCGGATACCACCTGTCGGTGGCATGTCGGACACGAACCGACTAAAACCGCACGCCGTCTCGGGTACTAATAGCCGGGGAACCAGGTATACCCTAGAAAGGAAGTCCCTGGTGCCCCGACATACCTCGGGTCATCTACAGACGAGTAGACGACCCCCCCCCGTGTGGGAACCCCATGTTCCCTGTGCTCCCTAGATGCGAGCGCGCTTCGCTACGCGCTCGCCGCCACCCCGGCCTGCTTCTGCTAGGGTGACAGATGGCCTCACCTGTCACCCCCAGGCCTCTTCCTCTCTCCTAACATTTTGCTGAGCCCGACAGGGTCCATAATTGTAACTTAATTATAAGTTTGACATCTGTATCACATTATGGAATGCAATAAATGTATTTGAGATTTGAGATTTTGAGATTTGATGCAGGGACGTATACCTGTAACTGGCTGGCTGCTCTGGCTGTTGCCAGAAAGTCTGTAATGTTTATAATAAAGCTTAGACTATAAACGTCAAACGTTTATCAGTGTTTGCTACCCGCTTCGGTAAGTATCCCTCCTTACGAACGTATGAAATGTATTTACTATATTTCGAAATCTTCCAATTTAGTTCTGATTAATTTCGTTCCAAGACAGTTAAACTTTTATTGGGACTTCCCAAAGCTTCAAAACTCGGTATGTTCGTAGCTCACTGCTGTTGATCCTAGTGTACTCGTACATGAATTACAGTAGTAGTTACTATGGGCGTGTAGGAGGGATTAATCCCAATAAAAAACAGTTTATCATAGAGGAGATGCATTCATTCTTTGAATACAAAATTAATTAAAAATTATGGCGAGTTTCTTTCAATCATACTTGATTAAATAAGAATCGCTGTTGTCATCCGTGTGGTTACGGATTAAGAATACGAAGTGACACCACCCCTATCCATCTCTTGGGTGTCGTAAGAGCTGACTAAGGGAGCAAAAGGACTACAGCACAGCAACGAGAGGAAAACTTGACACCAACCCTACACCAACCCGTCTGACCAGCTTGGTATATTAGGCCAAAACCTCCTTTGTAAGTCCAACCGTCTTTCTTTCTTTCGTTTTCTTTTCTAAAAGACATCTCCCGCACTAGGAATAAATCATGTGTCGCGGGGGACTTACATGAAACGGACACAAAGGACACCCAGACTCAGAACAACAATTTGTGGATCACACAAAGTATTATCCCATGTGAGGATCAAACCCACAACACTCAGCGTAGTAGGAAACGGCAAGGTGACAGCTTAAACCACTACGCCATCCGTGCAGTCAACTAGTCAACAGAGGACTATTAAAGGCTGTGGAAATGGATGGATGTTATAACATTGCATATACATTACAACATATACAATATGAGAGTATGACACGTATATTTTTAGCTCAAGATTCATAGGCCAATAAAAAAAATTGTAAACATTACCACATTATTTACTTAGGTGATATTGAGGAAGTTTATTTACGCAATACCCGCATCAAGTATTGTGAGGCCCTCAAAAAACGCGCTTAAACAACTGCTGTTTAAGTTCTCTTCTGAAGAGTGTATGTAGGTATTTATATTTCTTTGGCACGCTGTGTAGTCAAAACGTATCCATGGATTTTGGGGTTTGATTCGTCGTAATTGTCAGTATAGTATAGTAATAAATATTGTAGATCTACATTTTGAAAAAGTCGGGGTTTTTGGGCTACTATACAGACGGGTTGGTATAGGATTTGTGTCAAGTTTTCCTTCCCTTTGCAGTGTTGTTACGACTTTTACGTAGTCGGCTCTTACGACACCCACGGGATGAATGGGGATGGTGATACGCCATATACTCATTCTGTGACTACACAAACGTAAAATAGATTGGTAATAAATGAAAATTGAGACATAAACACCAGCTGCTGTCAACGTCCAAGTGCCGTTTCCCAACACAGGTATTGGTATTGGTTGTGGGCTCCGAATTCCGCATTTAGACTCAAGAATGGTCATTCATGCGTCGAGGAAAAGTTGGCTAGGTAAGCGAAACAAGCTCCTTCCAGAAGCGCAGAAGCCTCCTGAGGCCTTCACAGGCTATTAGGAGCGATTGTATCAGGTATGATACTCTCCCGTCGTGTGGCCCGTCCCTCGCATTCCAAGATTAAGTGGGCCGTTTCTTCTGCTTTCAGGCATTCCCATCACAGGACGGTCATACGTACACATTGTTTAAAAATATTAATTATCTACCCTTCTTCTATATGTTCTTGTTGTTTGCCTTTCACATCTTTGTCATCTTTTCTTTTCTTTTTTGTTTCTTTTCACCTTTTTTTTCTACATATAAATACTAAGTATTCCAAATGGGTTTGTTAAAGAGGAACAAAGAACTTTAAGTTTTAAACCAAGTAAACTTGATACGTTTTGGGACATGGTAATACACAGATCATAGTAAATATTTGCACGAAACGAGATTTGAACCCACATCCTCTGACGTTACAGTTTTGTAAAGTTTATATTACCTCAACTAATATCATATTCACAAATGTGAGTTCGTTATTTTTTTACTCTTTAACACCTCAAGTACTTAACTGATCAGTGTTATTTTTTGTATACAGACAACGAAAGACCTTTCGTCCGGGAGAAAGTAGATAAAGTCAGCACGAGATACATTGATTGAAAAAATCGAGCCATGCTTCGGTTAAATGACCGGACCTCACAGAAAACCGGTGTTGAGAAATTCTTTGGCTACTTTACACCGAATCAGTAAAGTCCTGCAGCAAAGCACATGTGGCTTTTAAGGCGAGGTTGCAGCAATTTTGCACTTTTTTGAAGAGAAATAAATACCCTAATATGCATTTATTGTGCATGAAACTAAATGTTTTTTAAAAATTAAACATATAATCTAGAGATCCGTAAAGATGGAAACATGATTTACGGGATTTGGCTCGATAAAAAAAAATCACAAACATAGCACTAACTCACGATTTCAAATAGAAATTGTTGTAAAATGCCACCATGGATTCACGTAAAAATTATACCAAAAAATAGAGCTTATTTTTTTTAGGGATTTGTAAGGATACATTTTCACATAGTTGTACTTATAAAAAAAGGAATCAAAAAATATGTTCTTGCGCTTGCTTACGACGGCGAAGTTCGCCTGTCAGAGCTCGCTGAGCCTTGTTTGAGGTCGAACGCACGTCATTTTGCTCCGTGAAATTCCCCCGCGCAAATACGTGAAATTCGTTTTCACGGAGCTTCAACAGAATACTTATAAATTAATTTTAATAAAATTATTCCTTCTACTTTATTAGTAAATTATTACCGTCTACAATGTTTATACAACACAAAAATAGTAAAATTTTACAAACACATCAGTTTCACTGCGCCACAGTCTAAAAAAATCAGTATGCATGTGAGTACGGTAAATAAACAGTATTCATTGGTAGTATAGAAAGAAGGTAATCAGAAAATGTTATTAGAAATCTCTAATTTTGGTATAGTCAGGCATATTTAAATTATGTGGAATTCAACAGTAATATTTTGCAGCACTTCGATAAGACAAAGCAT